CGTCAGCTAAAAAGGGAGCTGTTCTGATTAAGTCTTTGACCTTAGCTTTATGCAGCTGAAAATACCTGTATCTCTTATAAATGCAACACATCCACCAAAATACCATCAGGTTATGAAATGTAACATACTACCTCTATTTACCCTGTGGCTTTTAAGACAATATTATGTGCTGGGACCTTATGCAATCACAAATCAGACTGAGAGTCTCCAAGAGATGAAGCTCTTAAAAGCATCTCCAGATTCACAGTGTATAATTACAATACCAAAAGACAGACAGTGCTGAACCTTTTACTTCTGCTCTTACACAAATGTTGAGCTTCCAGACATGACACAACTTTTCTTCTCCCTCATCATGCTTTACACAGCTCCTCTACACCTTAGCACGTGTCTGATCTTTTCAGCTCAACTCTCAAATGCCAACATTCATTTACCTGATAATTAACATCATTATGAGCACTGACATTTTTCTCATCTTCCTGCTTTTTTGTGCCTTGATCGTTCCTGCCAAGGGGCTGTTTTCACTTCCAGGTTTTTAAAGCAGCAGTAAGAAATTGTTATTTCACACTAACAGCTAATGTACATTGCAGAGATAACTCCTGACGAGGCAGTAACCTCGAGCGCTGCTGGAGGCGCGCTGGCAACACGTTCACCATTACATTAATGGCAACTCATGTGGAGTTTTCTACTTCTGTTAATCTTCCTGTGTTGTCCTTTTTTTTAACATCATTCCTTGCAGCATATTCTCACCTACCATGGCAAATTGGAACCAATTTCATACTTTAATCAACACTCATTAAGCAACAGGCAGAGAAGTAAGGGCTTAGACGCGCGAGCCATTGCAGTGGCCAAAGTCTGTGAGGATTTTGTGCCTCATTTCTTTTCATTGGAATGTCAAATACTGGAGAAACAGCATTACATGTAACGTACCCTCTTCAGATTCTGCTTTTCACCGGGAATTCAAACAGGTCCAAGACAAAGGTTTTCTCCTGCCAGGACTGATGGCAAAATCTTTTCTTCGTGCTTAGATACCTGTAGCCTCAGGATGCGTTTCTAACTCTGCACTGACCGGAGAGCGACAGGAAGCAGGTATCTCCGAGCAGCCAGGGCCTTGTCCAGGTCCAGTTAGGAAAATGGACAAAAATCCACTTGAATGAACAGCCTCAGGAGGCCTTTATGTATATTCGTATTATAAAACAACTACCAGCACCCCAACCATTGTGCAGTCTCCTGCCTGATCTAAAAATCACCATTTTGCACCAGGAGGCGCAGCAAACACTCAGCACCAATGCACAGGGGTTGATTTCCACATCTTCCAGGAATCCTCTGAGGAACCGATGCACAGGCACATAGGACAGCAGCACCTACTTACCTCGGAGATGTTTGTGAGAATCAGGCAAAGCACACGCTAAGAAATTAGACTGAGGAAACTGAGACTGAATTATTCCTTTCTGAGGAGCAGAGTGAGCTAACAGAACACCTACATCTCCCTACAGGCATGACAGCTGGACTTTGAAGGCTTGGAAATCCAACCTACTTTGAAAGAACATGCTTTAGGCTAGCAGCAATGGTGTTCACAACTCCAGTGATACCCAAAGGAATTCCTGCAAGAATCCCAACTGCTTTCCAGCCAAACACCATTAAGAAACAGCAAAACCACCAAATCAGTGTCTCGCGTTAAACAAGAGCGAAGAGATGTTAAACAAGCACTTTTGGTGCCTCTTCACATACATCCACAGGACCCAGGACAGCGTGTGGATGATGACAACAAGCAGGAAGGCAAGAACTATCCGTCGGGAAAACAACAGAAATGAAGCTTCCGTGTCCCAGGGCCCAGGCAGAAGTTTATACTGAAATAAAAAGTCAGGTTGCTACCAGAGAGAGAGACCTTTTAGGTGGATACCATCAAGTGAAAATAAAGACTGGAAGATTATTAAGGCACCAGTTATCTTTCCTATTCCGCACTTGAGTTTCCCCCAGCAAAACACACAGCAAACTCCATGCACCTTGTTGTGTTATCAGGCAGGACCAGTCATTTTTAAGTTACAGTTCCCCATAAACTCACATCAGATAACTTTTTCTCTCACTTTATTCTAACTCACTTTATTGTGATGTTCCTGACTTATGACAGCAGTGCAAGGGGGGTAGCAACAACCCTGCAACTATTCCCAGCTGTACGCAACTCCAGAAGCACTAGAACAGGAGTAAAATGCTTTCCTTAGCTGAAGAAAAGAGCCAAGCTGTAGACAGTGAGATACAGCACGTGGCAGAGCAGCCACCATGCTGCAGGAACATCAACCCGTCACGTCCAGCAGACAAACTGCTGGCAGGAGACCAAACCAGGGAGATGCTGAAACCGCTCTCCAGGATTGCACGGTACTATTAGCAGCATGTACCATGTCTGGTTCCCCCACCCCCAACGCTTCCAAATCTGTGATTCAAATTCATGTATTAAACGCATTAACGGTTTTCAATTAATGTGGTTTACACACGTGAACTCTCTGCATGGGCTGTGTGTCTGTTGCAGGCGCTTCTTCGAGGCTCACATTCATCAGGTGCTGCTTCCATTTGTTAACCGGGTAATTCTGATCACTGATATTTGCATGAAGTGATATTTTAAACACATTTTATTAAAATTAATCTCATCTTCAGGCTTAGAATTCATTATCCATAAAACCACAGAGCCAAAAGCCTGCTGGTGTAAACACACAGGCGGAGCAGGCTCCTGCGAGGTTGGAACCATGTCTTGATGGCCAAGTTCCTCAGCGCTCACCAATGTCATCGTCTCGAATTCAAGCGCATTCCAAGTTGGGTTTTGCTGCCCACAAATGATTTGCTCCTAACAATTACTATTCCACCTAAAAAACCTCTGGTGTAGAGCAAGTTACAGTAATAAAGCCACTTTATTAATAGGGTATTTGCCCGCGGAGGCCCCATGGAAGCAGCAGCACATTAAACCCCACCACTCACTCCATGCTGGAGAAGAGACAAGATAGATGCCCGCGTCCCCACCCCACACTGACCTGTGTTTACTTCAGCACTTCAGCCCCAGGATTTAACTGGACAGAACTGGCCTATTGTGATGAATTATGTAGGTAATTCAGGGACACGAGCAAACATTCTACCGAGTTCAGATTAATGGCCTCAATTCAAAGTGAATTTTATAAACGACCTAAACCAAGTGGGACACGCACTGTCTCATGTGCATCTTAACACAATGCACTCCTCAAGCCAATTTCACTGAATATCATCAATTCCACATTTAAATGAAATTCCTGGGGAAGAACTGCAAAGAACTCAGATAAATGAGGCTAAATAAACCAAATCAGGGAAAGTGCAAAGGAGTTTTATTTGTAGCTCCTGAACTCTGGGAATTGGGGAATCTGAAAAGTCTCTTAGGCTGAATTATTGAGATAATAAAGCACCTGCTGGAGAGATCTCTGAATGCTTTAATGAAATTATTTCATTGCCCCAGAATAATCACAAATGCAGGTTCTCTTTTGAGAGCAAAAGAAACAATGCAAAGTAAAGCAGGAAAGATAAATGGAATGCAAATCAGCCTCTCCACTCAGAGGAAGCAGAAAAGAGCCATGACACGAGAGGAACGAGTCTGATGGCACTGTGAACAGGCTGACTCTGCTCCAATTTTATTTACTATTGCAGGGTCACTCGAAAACAGCTAAGAATAAATACAGAAGGGGAACAGACAAGCATGAAAGCACCATCACACTGAAGCATTTTGTTTAGGCTTGATTTTGCCAAAGGCTCCTACATGTAAATCACAGAATGGGTTGGTTTAGAAGGGACCTTAAAGCTCCTCCAGCTCCAACCCCTGCCCCGGGCAGGGACACCTTCCACTAGAGCAGGTTGCTCCAAGCCCCTGTGTCCAACCTGGCCTTGAACACTGCCAGGGATGGGGCACAGCCCGACAAATCATCTGCCCCTAATGCAACATCATTAAGCAATTACAGAAGTTCTACTAGCTGCAGTGGAATCATGCAATTAGAAAGTTATCCATGTGGAATACAGGGATGACTCCCTACTTGCAGGCTTCTATTCCCCACCTTTACCTTTCAGAAAGACAAGTCCTACAGAAGTAGGATCTGTTACATAATTTAATACTTACGCAATCCACTACATATGAATATTTAACACTACTGGGAACTTCAATAAATCACCTTGTACTTACAACCAATGGTCAAAATCCCTATTTGTTTTATTCATAGTCCTCTTCTCAGTCACAAGAATTGCAAAGCGGACAGAAAAGCTAGCCATTTCCTGGGAATAACTGATTTAACCTATTAAAAACAAGCCAACAGAACACGGGAAGTTTCTTTCTTTTATTTCCACCCAAATCCTGCAGAACCTCATTACATTTTCATTTACTAAAATGTAATTAATGAAGGCTTTTAAACCCTCAGAACCTTTCAAATTAATGAAAAGTCCACCCAAATAAATTAGACATGTAGTCCAAGAGCTGCAGAGTTAAATAACAGTAGTTATCCTGACAGGAACCAAGAAACAGCTGTCACATACAATTATTTTTAGGGCTGCTACTGAACCATTTTCACATTATGAGCTGCCACCTCTCAGCAGCTAACAGCAGCTTCACATTTTATCATGACAAAAAATTAGAGGCAACCAGTTATCTCCTTGGGTATTACACACATTTGTAACGTCCTGCGCATTAAATGGAGCTAAAGCCCAGCACCGTGGGAGGAACACAATCCCAGGCCAGCAAAGAGCTGCTACATCACCCCAGCTGTGACTTCGTCCTACCCCTTTGGCCAACAGTCAGAGGAAGGACGCCCGGCTCTAACCTACTGGCTCTGAGAACTTGATGTCACAAGTGCCCAACGAAGTCATCACCAGCACTCAGCCCAGTGCGCTCCAGCAGCCACCCCACTGGCTGGCAAAGCCTCCTCCTCCTCACCATCATGTTGGGAACATAACCACGCTCCAAACGGGAGGACAAGCAGCCACACGTGTCAGCCCACCTCAGCATGACCAACCCTGCTGGCGAGCTCCCAGATAATAAGGAGGAAGCTCATCTGCTGTTGCGCATCTTCATCAAGAAGGTTGAGACCAGCCAAGAGCCTGAAACTAGCAGAGAGGTTCCAAAGAAAAGGTCAGGAAGACGGAAAACCATGTCCAGGAAGGGGAAAAAGAACTCTAAGAAGGCGGCAAAGTGCCACAGGCCCAGGCGCTCAAAGAAGAAAGCATCAGGTGCTCTAAGGGGGGTGAGGAAAACGCAGAGAAGGCGGCAGAAGAAACACGTTAGCTTCATCACAGACAAGCGGCCGCTCCCTCCTTTCTTTCTCTTCATGGCAAAGAATCGTCCCAATCTTCAGAGATCAAATCCAGACTTGACAGCGGTAGAAATGGCCAAGACGTTAGGGAAAATGTGGCATCAACAGCCACAAAGTGATAGAGATAGGTACAGAGAACAGGCCGAGTACCTGAGGAAGAGAAAACGAAGGAGACGACAATAGGCCAGGGCACAAGCCAGAGACAGCCAGGAGAGGAGCTCACAGTGGAAAAACATCCACACAAGAAGGAGGAAATGAAGACTTTGATGCTCTGCTTTGCTGATAAGACTGTGACCTTCTGCAATTTCATTTCATCACTTGCGCCACTGCAGCTCCTTGTGTAGCTTCAACGTTCGTGAGCCTTACTGAAATAACTGCAAACACAAGATAACCACGAGGCTCAAGGCAGGGCAGTAATTCAGAATCAATAGAGCTGGCTCTATACTGATGGCAACAGGAAGGCTTGTGCAGGCTAGAGATGGATGTTTCCTGCTTATCCATAATGAAAAGAGCAATGAGTCTTCTCTGTCTCCTCTTCTCTCCCAGATAGCAAGTTAAAAACATGCTCCTTCACATGGAATTCTGGTCCTAACTTAGGAGGTCCTGGAGCTTGAGACACAACAACCAACGCAGCCTTGCCTCAGGGAAACACAAGGTTCTCCACCGCTGCCAGGACTCTGTAGCTGTTGACCTGCTTGTACTACACAGCAGTATGTAACTTCTAAATGCAGGGGGGGGGTCCTACATAAACCATCTGAACAATGAAATGGAAATAAACTTGCTTGTCCTGGTTTTTGCCTTTGCTGAACAGCAGCATCACTTGGAAAGGATGGCGGCTTCTGCTCAGAGGCCAGGAATAACTAACAGCTAACTCTGCAGGCCAGAGAGGAGCGGAAAACTGTGGGAAGGTGCATGAACTCAGATCCAAACCAGCCCAGGAACCCACTGAAGGGCTGAAGGACCAAGACTGGCACCAGAGAGCTTTCTCCTCTTGACCACAGCCTTTCTACAAGTTCCTAAAGGAAGAATCACAGCACATATCACACCAGGGTCAGTGCCTATTTCTTTAAAGAACTCTGTCTCGACTTTCTTCCTTTGGCTTAAAGGGAATCCTAAATTTGATCCAAAAGACTAGATCTGTAATAGAAAGGCTGATGTCCCGAGCTATTTATGAAGTAACCAGCAAGCACTGCTTGGGCGAGAGGTCATCTGACTTCAGTGACATCTCGGAAAGTCTGCACTTTGGGGAGCGCTCAGTTGCTCTCCACACTCTAGGAAGTGTCTCACACAAGCCCAATGCTCCACCAGCTGGTCCAGTCCCCGAGCACAGCCTCTGTCCTCTGCTCCCTGCTCAGGCACTTCTTAAACGGCTCTTTTTTTCCTGTTTTTAAGAGGCAAGATTAGCAGCAGAGAGCAGGGAAAGGGATCCTTCTTCAATGCCACCTTGCGTACTTTGCTCAAAGCCAGCTTGGACACAGGGGCTTAGAGCAACCTGCTCTAGTGGAAGATGTCCCTGCCCGGGGCAGGGGTTGGAACTGGAGGAGCTTTAAGGTCCTTTCCAACTCTAACTATTCCATGATTATGGACTTTGTTAGGGTCTTAGCACCATCTACTGCGATACTGGGAGATGGAGTCAGCAGGCAGCAGATGCCACTGCTGGAAACTTAAACCCCCAGGACATGCCCCTCGTAAGTAGGAGTACAAATGCTGACAATACTGAGTAAAAACTAATACTCTGCTATGACTTGGTGGCAGAGTGTTTAAGGGAGCAGGGACAAGAAATATCACTTTAATGGTTCTCACGGCTGCACAGCCGCTAACAGCTTGACAGTATCTATCAATTAAAATCTATTCCCAGCTGCACCCGTGATGGCCACAGCAGACTCTGCAGCTATTTTTGGCACAGTACAAATATGAAGTGGTTAAAAAAGATGCTTCAAAAAGGCCCAAGATATTACCCATCCAATTATACTTTTAATGGAATCTTTGTGTCTTCCATCTCTCAACTTGCTAAACAACTGGCATTCAGGCAAAATCATGCTCTGTGAAGCTGCCACACAGGTTCCACTCAATTTAGCACATCATAGTCTGATCGTGAGTAATGTCTTCAAATACCTGCAGCACTGCCTCAAAACATACACTGCTTTGCAAACACACACTCCAACCAACTCCCAGTATGGCCATTCCCACCAGGCTCTTCAGCTGACATGCAGTCTGCGAGGCTGAGGGACAACCCTGGCTGCCAGCTCAGAATATACCACATTCCAGTTACCTGCACTGGGAAATCTTTCACTGAGAGGAAACAGGAGGGCCTGGAAAAGAGTACACTTGAAACTGGTGGAGGTTTTCACCTGCATCTGCTTTCACACTAATGGCATATAGGCTACAGATGAAAACTGTTGGAGCTAAGCACTAATAATCATAAATAACACTTCTGGAGATGCCTCATAGTAGCAGCAAGGAAGCTATGGACTCTGAAGAGCCTGCGAGCAAGTGATGGAGAAAGAGGGGTAAATGATTAATATGACTCTTATGGCAGGAACATACCTTGGAGGCCTGTGGTAGGTTCCTTCACCTGCTTTCCACACTGCAGTGAAAGCACACAACGAAACTCTAAGTGAAGCCCTTGGTTCCTTTTAGTATTGGAACAATTTAAGCTCACTACAAGTCTTTGCACACTTTTCATGTACTCAAAACTGATGTTAATGATGTTATAACAGATCTAGTAATGCAATTCTTATCGTAATGCTACCTGTGTTGCCACTGGTAAGGGAACAATGAGTCAAGAACACCTTGTAGTTTCTGTGGGAGAAAATGAGCTAGACTGTCTTCCCTGCAAGAGAGCTGAAGGGACCCACCAACGGATCCATCTGGAAAGGATTTGCTTTCCCTGCCATCTCCATGAGGGGGCTGAGCCAGAATTGTTCAGTCTTTATCTACAGCCTTCAGAAATCCACTTCCCCGTGCTCTGGCCCGGGGCGCACACGCACGTCTCTCACCACAGCAGCGCTTGCTCATATTGGTCACAGACGTTACACGCTTAGGTCCAACTTCAAAGCCTGGATAAACAACCCTGAAAGCCAAAATTCACATACTCCACTCACCATTTATGTGCATGCAAACAAAAAATATGCATCTGAGCCCAGAAGCAAAACTATCAGTAAGGAGACGTGGCTGCTACACTGATACTCCTGCTGCAATCAAGAGAAGCCCATCTCTGTAGAGATTGTTCCCTCTTGTTAACTGGGAACAACAGCACTTCATCCTACCTCCTCATTTAGCCTCCATTCTCCTATGTTAGCAATATTCTCCTCTGTGCGTACAAGACAACTGTCCAAAAGCTCTCAAGAGCAGTGGAAGCACCAGAGCATTTCTCAGGAGCAAGTTCCTTTAATAGATGTTCTCTGCAGTAATGCGCCTACACCACTGCCCTGCCTGCTGCATAACAGCCACGAGAAGTCCTGCTCACAGCAGCTCACTGACACACTGGGTATATCACACAGGTTGGGACTAAAAGCAAAAGCACCCCAGAAACACAAAGCACTGCAATTCTTTATAGATGCTTCAGTGAGGAGCTGAGCCTTTGAAAGCCCTTGTTTGGGGTCGGTGGAGTTTTTTAGTAGAGCAGACGCATCACTATGGATTTGGCATCTCTCAGTGTATTTAATAAGTTATTGGCCTTATTCACGTTTCAGAGTTAAGGGAAACAGTAGAAGAACACAGAATTAAGTGATTACAGCAAAAGCCCACGCCAGCCACAGCACGTTCATAAGCCCTTGGCTGTGGCTGTGTCGCAGAGAATGGGAAGCGAGCCACTCCAGGCCCCTCTTCTGGCTCCCAGCAGCTCCTGGCCACCCAAAAGGGCTTTTGAGAACAATCTGCAGCAGCCTGAATCAGGCAAAGCCTGGCAGAGACCTCCCCAAAACTCTGCTTAGTCAGGAGCAGATTAATTCGTTACAACTTTGAGGCTTTGAAGAAGGGCCCTGTCATGAGTTAAGTGAGATGTTAAACTGTTAGAGAAATCAGAAACTTGAAGAGTTCTTTGCTCAATAACTGCCTGGCAAAGAATCTTTTTGTTTTAGAGAATCAACAACTTGCTTCTGTTCACAGCTTGGTTTTAATGCGACCAAAAAGACACCAAGTTACTAGAAGGTAAAAAAGCCACAGGACCATGGTGAAGAGCACAACAGCTTATTGCTGAGTCCATCTTGCACCAAAGCACAGACTGAGCGTTACAGAGCACACCCCCATCCGCACGGATCGGCGAGGCAGGCAGTGCATCCTGTCACCCTTGTTAACTTTGATGTACATCACGAATCACTGGGATAACAAACTCATCCCCTGCACGCTGGCACAGCACGTAGCTGCTGCTCTGTGGATTCTACTACAGTTTTACAAGCTCCCTCCATCCCCCTCTGTCCAACAAGAAAACGTATTTAGCACAGAGGCTGCCTGTTGACCTTGCAGCTCTTGGTGAGAGGGCATCTTCATTCCAAAATAGAGCGAAGATAATGAAACAGGTCTTCAAAAGCGTGCCACTCCCACCGAACTGCAAACCCATCTGTTTCACTTGGTAACAGCTACCAAAACAAGCAGGTGCTCAGTTATGAGAGGTGCAATTAGAGCAGCAGGTTGACAGACACGGTTTTGTCTTTCCCAGAATTCATCATTTAGATGGACAAAATAAGTGTCTGCTTATGCTCCTCCTAACCTCGGGTAAAACCACAGCAGGTATGTTCAGTCGGGCAGACGCACGAGACTGGCAGTTCTCTAGGGGGTGATATAATGCATAAAATACCACAATGTGAACATGCTTAATACCAGTTTCTTCTGGAACGTGATGTTCTTTAAGGTCCCTTCAAACCCAAACCATTCTATGATTTTCTACATGAGAAAAATTTCATCAGATGACCATTTAGGAGACCACAGGCACCAGTTGAGATAATATTAAATATGCTCAATAAATTGTTTGATTCAAAGTCTGTTTTCCACCACTCTCATTGCAAAAAAGCTTTATGCTTCCTAGAAGAGTAAACAACAAAAGTACACACAGAAGTTCAAGTAAATGAATAATAAATTCAATGTATAACTACCTACTCGTGAATCCACAAGAAACTGGAGAACCTATCCAACAGCAACTGGAAATGAGCTGCAGAGTCCCAGCAGTTGCTTGTAACAGGACT